GTCTTAATGCTGGATTAGTTTCAGCTTTTGTCTTCTCCAGATGTTAACTGATGGACTGGAGTGCTGTGGATTATTGTGATGTTTTTATCAGCTGTTTGGACTCTCATTCTGACGGCACCCATTCACTGCAGAGCATCCATTGCTGAGACACTGATGCAGTGCTACATTTCTACAAATCTGATGAAGAAACAAACTCATCCTGATCTCTGATGAGCACATTTTCAGCACATCTTAATCTCTATAAGCAGGCTTGATGTGTTGTGTGTGAGAGGAACTGGAGAACACTAGATCAGATCAGATCAGATCATCCCACACACACTCACACTCACTCACACTCACACTCTCACACTCTTCACTCTCACACACACACACATACACACACTCTCACTCTCACACTCTTCACTCTCACACACACACACACACACACTCACACACACTCACACACACACACACACACCCACTCACTCACACACACACACACACACACACTCTCTCTCTCACACACACACACACACACACTCTCTCTCTCACACACACACACACACACACTCTCTCTCTCACACACACACACACACACACTCTCTCTCTCACACACACACACACACACACTCTCTCTCTCACACACACACACACACACACTCTCTCTCTCACACACACACACACACACACTCTCTCTCTCACACACACACACACACACACTCTCTCTCTCACACACACACACACACACACTCTCTCTCTCACACACACACACACACACACTCTCTCTCTCACACACACACACACACACACTCTCTCTCTCACACACACACACACACACACTCTCTCTCTCACACACACACACACACACACTCTCTCTCTCACACACACACACACACACACTCTCTCTCTCACACACACACACACACACACTCTCTCTCTCACACACACACACACACACACTCTCTCTCTCACACACACACACACACACACTCTCTCTCTCACACACACACACACACACACTCTCTCTCTCACACACACACACACACACACTCTCTCTCTCACACACACACACACACACACTCTCTCTCTCACACACACACACACACACACTCTCTCTCTCACACACACACACACACACACTCTCTCTCTCACACACACACACACACACACTCTCTCTCTCACACACACACACACACACACTCTCTCTCTCACACACACACACACACACACTCTCTCTCTCACACACACACACACACACACTCTCTCTCTCACACACACACACACACACACTCTCTCTCTCACACACACACACACACACACTCTCTCTCTCACACACACACACACACACACTCTCTCTCACACTCTTCACTCTCACACACACTCTCTTCACTCTCTCACACACACTCACACTCACTCACTCACACACACTCACTCTTCACTCTCTCACACACTCACACTCACACTCTCACTCACACACACTCACACTCTTCACGCTCACACACACTCACACACACACTCACACTCACACTCACACACTCTTCACTCTCTCACACACTCACACTCTCACTCACACACACTCACACTCTTCACTCTCACACACACACACTCACACACACACACACACACTCACACACTCACACTCACACTCACACTCTCACACACACTCACTCACATGTCTGGTCAGCTATCCTTGTGGGGACTCTCCATAGGCGTAATGGTTTTTATACTGTACAGACTGTATATTCTATTGCCCTACACCAACCCTACCCCTAAACCTACCCCTCACAGGAGACTTTCTGCATTTTTAGATTTTCAAAAAACTTCATTCTGTATGATTTATAAGCTTTTGTACCCGTGGGGACCACAATTTAGGTCCCCACCGTGACACGAGTGCCCATGAGTCTGTGTGTACTCAGGTTTAAGTCCCCACCAGGATATATAAACCTGTACACACACACAACTCGCACGCACGCACACACACACACACACACACACTCACACGCACGCACACACACATACACACACACACACACACTCACGTTTTATGTTTCTTATTGGAACTGATTAATCATATGCAATATTTTGACAATATTATGTTTTAAAAAAATTAAAAACATTATTTGTATTTGATAATATAGACAATATTCAGTTTATGAAATGGCATTATTCGTGGATAATTTGGGCAATATTCTGTTTTTGAGTGGAAAAAAGTGTGCTAATTAAAAGAAAACAAAGAAGGAAAAGAAAGTTGATGAGACTAAATGCAATATTAGTTTTTTTCAGCTGCTTACACACAAAATCCTCTCTTGTCACACAGTCTCTGAAAGCTGACACTCAAACAGCAGAAGCACACACCAAATCTGCAAAAACATTCACTAATTCTCAGACTTTGACTCGGTTTTTAATTTCATAAAATACTTTTTGCAAAACACAACACACAATTCTCTGCGTAACACACACAAATCTAACAGGAATTAATATTACGGCAAAGCTGTTTGCAAATGTTAGCTTTTGAGATGTGTTTGTGATATTTTGAATGCAGTGCTTCATTTTGCAAGAGATGCGAGGCATTTTGCATTTTGTGCAATTCTTGGATTTGTGTGTAAAGTTTTGAAAAAAAAAAATGAAAAAAAGGCAAAGTTTTGAAAATGTGTAAGCAGTTGGAAAAAACTAAGTAATAATACAGCATAATGAGAAATTTACAAGCAATTTTCTGTAGGCCGGTCATTTCTGACTGAGAACACCGCAAGTAAAGCCCCAAAAAAGTACAAAAATGATCACAACTTTTGGGTTAGTTGCTATACCCTGTGTGAGCAGAGTCAGCAAGTTTTAGTCCAATATGATGACATTATCTAGCATGTTCAGGAAAAAGAAAATCCTCTCCAGACGAAGATGAAAACAAGCTCACCTTCCAGCGTTCCTCATCCTCGACCCAGCGGTTCTGAGTTTCTCTCTGAACCAAGCACAACAGGGCAAAATATAATATAATAATAGAAGTTGATTTTCACATTAAACCCAACTGAGCTGAAGTACTACACTACCCACAATCCTCCAGAATCTGACCTCTCTGAAGAACAGATCATGCGTTTGTCCAACATTATGAAACACACATTACATAATCCTCTGTATTTGTGATGTAACGTGTGAAATCTCAGTTCCGTCTCAGTCGTGACCCAAAACTGCCTAAAAGCAAAAACAATCAGCAGGAAGGATTAAAGTGTTAGTTCACTCGACTTCTAAATGTGGGGAATGTTTACGCCACAGCGCACAGTAATGAGAAATATCACAAAGTCTGCGCGTGTGTTGGGTGTTTTTGGCCTCGAGACGTCTGCGAGACATTTCCGTCGCTCAGATTCATCATGATCTGCTATTACGAGACTGAAGTGAATCTATGGAACAAAACGAAGGGAAACAAGCTTCATATGGCCTATCATACAGCAATGGCATCTCAAACAAACAGCATAAATCTGGCTGCGTTTTATTGGATTCCAGCGGCGGTCTGTGTGTGAAGAGAGTGTGAGCGTTTCAGACAGATGCAGATACAGCAGAGAAACAGTTCATTACAAGTGAGCGTTTGTGTGTGTAGATTGCAAACAAACCAGCTTAAACATCAGCGCTGATGTGTGTGTGTTCACCAGCAGAAGAGAGAATCATGACTCCATCTGTGAGTGTAATCAACAGTGTGTTCTGTCAATAAAGAGTCCCGTCTGTATAGAAGAATCATATTATGTGCTGTCGCAGGTCATGTGTCCAGAGAAGCTTCCTGGCATCTCCTTCCACAGACGGTTAGGAAATGTCCACTAAAAAACAGCCAAAACTTGTTCCCATTATAAAAATGTAACAAAATATGCCATTAAAATGTACAGATCTGCAGCATATCTGCAGTAAAGGTACGTTTGCTCAGTTACATTACAACAACATTCCCACAATGCTCCAGTCTGACGCCTTTGTGCCACGCAGAAGTGACATCAGTGGTTCCTAAAGCGCTTCGATGAGCGCCGCTTCTCACCTGAGGAGGGAAAATCACAAACAGCTCAGGAGACAAATCCACTGAATATGTGAACATTTAATATCAGCTGTCACACACATTTCATCGGAAAGTGAATTCATGCTTTAAAATTCATTCAAATATTACATGATATTCAGATATCATAATTAAATCTCCCACTGAAGATTGACCTCCAGTCATTGTTTTCCATTAATATTATTGTTTTATTCAGAAGAATGATACAGATTCAGTGCAAGTTAAACCCCATCCGCCCCATTTGGGAAATAATGTTGACTACAATAATTTAAACAAATTTACAAAAAAAACTAATTTAAACAAATTAAAGATGAATCCTAATGAAGCTTAAAACAAGAGCAGTGAGTGATTTCCTTGTTTTTGCGGTTTGATTAACATTAAAAAAAGTGCTGTCACTTTAAGACAACGCACGGATACAGTACGTTCAACCGACTATATCTGCACCAATTACAAACTTACTAGAAAAACCAACCTTATTAGAAAAACCAACACTTGAACATACATTAGTGTGATAAAAACTACCTAAAATGATGAAAACCATCTTTGGGAAAAATGTATTTGAAGTGTAATTAGATTTTTTAGTTCGGCTTAGTTCCTATTCGTTTATGGAGAGTGGGGGATTTATGGCCTATACTGCAGCCAGCCACCAGATGGCGATTTAAATGTTTTGGCTTCACCTTTCATGATGTGCACAGCACTATTTTTAACATGACTGAGGTTTCAGAGTTTTTGCCACAACAGTATGTGCAACACCGTTCTGTTCATCCTTAAACGTACCTTCCCATCTTCTAATCTGTGTCTGAGAACAGCTCACATGTGTTCCCTCCACAGTCCTCTCTGCCCTCACCAATCCGCTCCCCGTTGCTCCCCGTGTTGTCAAACCAGTTTTCGATCTCTGGGCTGCTGGGTTTGGTGTTCTCTTCTCTCAGCAGTCGTTTTGTTGCGATGTTCCGTTCTCCAAACATCTCCTTCCGGTCTAGGACGCGGCCCTGCTGAGGTAGCCGACTATCTCTGAACCAGCGGACAAGTTCTGTGCGAGCCAACCGCGCCTGCATCTCCAGACGCCTGAACTCTACGGGCGAAGGCCATCGGTTCTGGACAAAGACATTTTTGAGAAGGTTCGCAGACTTGCTGACTTGAGGCACAGGGCTGAAGGAAAGGTTGCCAGAATGTCTCTGAGCTCCATTGAGGAGCGTCTGCTGGGACTCCCGTTTAGAGCCCATGGAGTTCAGCAGGGCTTGTTCCAAATCATCTCGAAGTGCTCTGCGCTCCAAGAACCAGCTTTCGATTTCCTCTCTGGCCATTCTAGTGGTGATCACGAGCTGTTCGACCTCATTATAGGACGGAAAACTGTTCCTCTGAAAACTCTCCTCTAGAAGCTTCATTTGTCCAGGACTCTTGTCCTTCACTCTCTCTAGCAGAGGAAACTGAGTGGGAACTGAACGCTCCCTCAGAGCAAATTCAACACGTGAGTTCAGGGAATCATTTTGGGAATTTGTAGTTTGATCGAAAAACAAATGCTTAGCATCCCCATGGGGCATTTCTTTGTCATTCGGACTACTGAAGCCTGTGAATGCTGGAGCAGCTGATGCCTCTATAGACTTAAACTGAAGAACTGGTGTCGGGGATGAGGACAGAGGCACAGCCGATGGAGTCTGCATGATCATTGGCTTACTCTCTTGTGGGGTCGCCACAACTGGTGCCAAGGGCATGGTTACACCATTACCAAACTTGTTTTTAGCAACAAACGAAGAGGGTGAAGTATGATTGCTCATATGCTGATCAATTACAGATCTTTTGAGGTTGGTGGACACTATGGGTGACAAAGGGAGTCTTTCTTTGGGCAGCTCTGAAGGAAATGCCACAGGTATCTTCTCTTTAGATTGAGCCATTGGGGGTTTCCCTTTAGGTGGGACAAAATGTGCAGCAACAGGTCTCTTCATGTCTGAGGCCACCAAAGAATCAGGGCTAGATGTTCTAGTCTCTGAAAGTCCAGGAGAAGAAGCGATAGCGAGTCTTTCTGGAAGTGGAGCTGGTGGAGGGGGCATGCGCAGACTCTCTTTGGGGTCTCCGGTTGGGCGTTTGACTTCTGAAACCAAGAGTGGAGTTCCTAAAGTGCGCTTAAGCGTCTGTGCCCGACGGACTGCTGTAGCAATGCCAGGCGTACAAGTAGTAGGCGATCTATCAGTTGTGATGTTTGATGCAAGACTGGTCTGCCCAAATCCATGACAAGTAGCTTGACAAGGGTTGAGTGGTTCTCCAAAAGGTGCAGGCCAGATTTTACAGATCTGGTGTGCAGGTGCTATGCTGCCATTGAACATCTTTTTACGGGCTTCTTCCACTTCTTCAGGGGACCAGGTGATGCCCTGCTTCAGTCGCTGAGTGGTGAACCATACCTTGATCTGGTCCTCAGGGTGCCTGGAAGCAGCAGTGAGCCAGGAGAGCTCTGCGTGGGTCGGATATGGGAATCGGCTAAACGATGTGATCAGGCTGACATTACTGTCCAATATGGGGTTGTACTTGGTGGTGTGAATAGGAACTGCGATTGTTGGAGAGGTGCTGAGATTGGGGGGTCTCTGTAGCAGAGGCGTTACGTGACTCGTAGGCTCTGAAATAATGATTGTACCATTTACCCTCACAGCTCTGATCTCATCCTTCAGCACTGGACTGTCCAGCTCCTTCTCCACATCCAGTCCTTTCTCCAAAATGCTGCTGTTTTCCATTGGTGTCTTTCCAGTTTCTTCATCTTCTGGATTGCTGGAGTCTCCAAACAGTCCGGAGTCGTATATGATGTCTGGAAGGGATCCTTCATTTTCCCTCTCAATGGTTTGCTCCAAGATACTTTGGCTATCCAGTTTGATATGCCTGACCTTAAAACGGTTCTCCCCGGGGTGTTGAACTTTATTATGACATGAGAGGGAGTCAGACTTGTTGGTACTGAAATTGCAGATGGTACAAAGGTAGAGTGAACTGACTGGACCTTCAGACTTATGATCGCTAAAGTTCTGCTCCGATGCAGAACCCCCCTCGGACTGCTCCTCTTCCTTATCATTCAGTGATGTGCAGTTTTCGTCTGCTGTGAGCGGCACAGGTGAATATCTGCCCAACACGGTCTTTGCTGAAACATCCATTTCCACGGAGTCTTCTGCAGTGAAACTGGTTGCACGGAGCACACAGGGGTTGGACGACTTCCTTCGGCTTGACATGATGAGTATGGTGACGGTGGCAGGGATGGTCTGGTGAGGGAGTTTAATGTGGAACGGGGGGATAGGAGTGAAGACCCAGCATTTGGGCAGAAGGCATAAGATGCTCCCTCAGACAGGGAGCTTCAGCGGCGAAACAGGGTGTCATGGAGGCCCGTCACACAGAGCTCACCTGCACAGATACAGAAAGACTTTATTAGACTTTAACAGACTGAGGTCAGTGACACCAGTCAGATCCTGTAACTGCTAGAGCACGGCACAAGCAATCCCAGTGCTGTGGGTCTGATTCCCATGGAGCACACATTCTGAGTAAATCTTTACCCTGAATGCACCGTAAGTGGCTTTAGATTAAAGTTTCTGCCAATTGCATAATGCACCATTTTTTTTAATGTTTTGAAATAAGAGTACTCTTGACTATGTAAATATACTGTAACTTTTCATGACAGAAAGTTCCCCTCGATTAATTATAACTGATTATACGGGATGGGCATCCCGTGGTAACTAGGAATTACACAAACTTCAGCCTGGATCCAGCCCTTACGAAGATCTGAGATGACCGAACACCTGAGAAGAGATGATGCCAACCCTCAAACAACATACAAAACTACCAAATTTGGCTATAAGTTTGATCGCAACATATAATCATTGCTGCTGATAGTGTTCACTGTACATTTCTGCCATATAGACATCACGTTGACATAGTCACCACTGACAAGCTACTACTAAATATAATGTAGAAACTTAATTTTTTTGTAAAGCTGCTTTGAAACAATTTGAATTGTGAAAAGCGCTATACAAATAAACGTGAACTGAATTGAATTATATGCATTATAAGTGGACTTCAGGGAATAAAATTGTCCTTAAAGAGTTCTTGATGTCTCTGATTTTAAAGTCTGTCTAAAGGTTTTCTAAATATAGAATTTCAAGAGCAAAACTCTTAACATTGGATAAAGTCAGGTTCAAAATTCTTGTTTGGATTTGTTGACATAGAAATAAAGTTTTTCCAGAGGGGATTTTGGATTTCTCTTTTTTATCACACCCATAAATCAGAAAAAACTGTCAACAGACAGAAAACAAACACATTTTCACAATGTTTTTAGGAGTAAAATGTCAAATCAGTGTGAATGATATATGAACAAACCTTCAGAATATAGAGAGGAATAAAACTAAGTTTTGGTGTGTGTAAGTGGAGAAAGAGAAACCTTTACAGATACGCATTTTCACCATGTTTTTTGGGGAATAAAAGGTTGTATAAATCAGTGTGAATGATATTTGAACAAACCCCTCAGTAAAAACCTGAAGAATATAGATGGGAATAAAACTGAAAGTTTTGTTGTATGTAAGTGCTGCTGAAACTAAAAAATTGTGCATATGAAAACACTGTCTAAGCAGCAGTATCTGCAACTGCAGTGTGGTTCAGACTACAATTAAACAAACACCTCTGATGAACAAAAAGACTCACTTTTCAACAGAGAGACTGAGGAGAGACTATGCGTTTGCACAGAAGGTTCATGAGTTCAGGCATTCCAGAAGCAAAGCCAACAGCTCAGCTAAGACAGAAGACTTACCAACAGCTTTAGCTAGAATCACAGACCGAGAGCAGAAAGAGAAAATAAAGTTTCTAGCTGGCAGAAAAATGTGAAACAGGTTTGTATTCATTTGTAACTAATCCCAAACGTTTGGATGTGGCGCTCAAGGCCGCAGGTCAATGAGACGATTCTGGCACACGGAGGAGATTCGACTGTGAGAATCCAAACACACACGGAGCCTCAGGACAATTCACATGAATACATTCATCACAGCAGCAGAAACGCAAACAGAGGACGCATTGTACTCTCACACACACACACACACACACACACACACACACACACACTCTCT